AATATAATTATATTTATGATTTTTATATATAATTTTTATTATGATTTTTTTATATAATTTGGTTCCTCCAATTATTATTTTGCATGTAAAAATATTAAGATAGAGATATTGAAAAACCAATATTTTACGAGATATTTTATCTCGTAATAAATTAAATGATAATTATTTAGAATAGGAGAGCCTATTCCAATGTATTGTCTAAATCATGACCCTGAGTGATTTCCAACAGAAGCCGTCTTTTTATTTTAGCCGTCACTCGTTATTCATTAAAAAGTTATCATAACAATCAAAGTTGATATTTCCCCGCTTTACATGAAAAGTGGATGATTTTAAGCACGGGAGGAGATATAAGGTACAGACCGACATAAGGGCAACTTTCTGCATGAAAGCGAGGTCCATCCCATCTTCTCCCTTAGAGCGATTAAATTTCGCCTAATAAAATAATGATAAAAGTAACAAGTCAAATCGTTATTCAAATGTAACGCTGTTACTCATTCGTTATCTACTGAAAAAAATAACGAAAAAAACGTTTTACTTCCCAATCCTATTATTTTGTTATGTATGTATAGAATTATTAATATATTTTATTACTAGAACTAATTAAGGCTCAGAATTTTTAATGAAATTTTAGAAAGGGGGGGGGGAGAAAAGAAAATAGCCAATGCGGATGTAGGTGAGTAAAAAATTTTGTATCATTTATTCTTATCTAATGTACGTACATAACTTACAATTAGTAGACGATCATTTTGTTTGGTCTTCTTTAGTACAATATGATAATAATCGAATACTCATATAAAAGTAGCAATGGTCAAGCAAAATTGTGCAAATAAAAAATAATATTATATTACAAGTAAAATTCATATGTTATAATTTATTTTGTCACAGTTGAAGAATTGAATTTGATGATTATATAGCCACTAGCACTGAATTTAGATTCGAGATTTGAGATATGAAATTTGAAGATTTGAGATTGGGAAAGAGATTTGAAACTTGAGGCATGACTATGAATTCCGGCTTCAGAGGCCCAGCCTCTGTATTCTACAACGTTACGCAGTTGCTATAAGCACATAACGACAGACTGAATCAGAACCACCAATCAAATGCTTGTCCAAAATTAGTGGAATGTACACAAGGTAACAATCAGATTCCTTTTTATATTTTCAAGCAACGTTTTGATTGGTCAAAGAGCAGCCGCCATTTTTAAGGATGCACGACTGCGCATCTTTGAAAATGGATTACCTTATATTCTTAGAGGCTGCGCCCTATAATGAAAGGAATAGGGAACAAGGAATAGAGAATAAGAAATACAATATTAAGAATTTCAATTCAGCAAATGAGAATGGATTAAAATGAATTGAAATTTTTTTCTATCCGTATGCGTATTTTAAATAGTGAATACTTTTTTTGGATTTAATTGTATTCAATTGGATTTAATTAGAATAGAATTAATTAAAATTCAAAATTTTGAATTGAACAGTATTCACAATGTATTTGTGTGCACAGAAAAAGTTAATATTATTTTTAGATTGACAGGCATAGAGATATACTCCATGCAATTCTTAAATAAATGAATAAAATACATTCAAATGAATATATTGAAAAGCATTCATTTTAACATTCGTGAATCAATATTTTTAAAAATCTGAACCAATTCATTTCAATTCATTTCAATTCATTCTCATTTGCTGGGAACCTATCATAAATCATGTATTGTGAAATACACAATTTCTGATAGGTTGAAATCTTTCCCTGTTTCCTGTTTTCTATTCCTTGTGCGCAGTCCCTTATACGCCTTATACTATGGCTCTGCTTAAATTGTTAATTTCAGAGGTTTTAGGTTATGTATCTAGACAAAATGAAAAACTGACTACATCTATTGTATTAATAAATTAGTGTTAAAATGAACTTTAATATAAGAATGCAATGTGAGATTAAAGTAAAATTGATTTGAATATCCTTATATCAATTCCACAAAACAACAGTCATTTTTCACAAAGTTCTTCATTTTTCTTTTAAAAGAAATGAAATAAATAAATATGAAATACTTATTAAATATCACTAACATGTAAACATAATCTACATGTTATCACATAATTGATGCCTACACAAAATATTTCATATATTAATTTAAATGTAAGAAATCGAATGAAACAATGCTGAAAGTGGATCAATTAATATAGAATTCAATACGAAATTCAGTAATATTTCATCATTATTCATTACAATTTAGGAAAAAATTTTCATCAGGGGTGTGACAAGTAAAAAGTCAAATTTTATCGGGGACAGTGATTAAAGATTACAAATATCTATTGGATGTATATCCAGTGTATTGCAGTAACTGATGATCGCTAATAAACATTAATATATATATTTTATTATTATTAGCTAATAAGAATAAAATTAATAATGTTATTAGAAATATAATTTAAATCGGAAAAAGCATGTAATAAACTAATTACATATATTTTTAAATAAATAATGACAATATACTTTTTATAATTCTTTTTTCTAATTCCTATTTTATTAAACAATTAAGCTATTAATCTAATATTAAGCATTATGATTTTTTTTCATCATGCAAGATATGCTTCTTTATCATGTGATATACCATTCCTATTGTCAAGCAAACTACTGCTGTTCCTTGGGCAGCCACTCGGAGTTGTATTAAATATAATTGTGTAGATATTTTTTTCTTCTTGAAACCATAAAAACCATAGCCACAGATACCAGCTAAACTTATTAAACCTATTTAAAAAGCAATACATGCATTAGATATTAATGATAAATATATACATCTTAGATGTTTTAAAAAAGCTCACATACTTGCAATAAGAAATGGTGATTTTTGTCCTTTCTCTAACAATCGCTCTGACAAAGTTTGATCTTTTATTGTGTCATCAATAGTAGCCATTTTTAAAAAAGAATATAGTGATAACTAATAACTGTTAATCTGAAAATGGTGTGATTCGTTCTGGATTAATTTGGTTATAAAATTTACGTAGATTAAAAGTTTTGTAAAGGTAAAAAATAAATCATTTTCAAAAAATTTATCTTATAGACAGTTCTGTTTATAAAAATTTATCATTTCCGTTTAAGTTTAATATTAAATTAATAAAATGTAAAGATATAAATATAATAACTGCCAAATAACACAGTCAATTCAAGATTATCACAATGATTAATAATCATATTAATTAAATTTTGTTTATTTCTCTCAGCATTTTAAAAAATAATTAAAAATTAATTATTATTTTTAATTATATTCTTAATTAGATGTTTCCCAGCAAAGACATAGTCAGACACTGTGCACACATATAAACAAGCAAATAGTTCCTTGTAGGCAAACAACAAGGATATAATGATTCACTGTGTTACACTATGTCCGACTGTGGCCTTGTTGGAATACCCATTATCTGGTAATGAACAGATATAAATTCGATAATTATTTATAATATTCCTATTTACTTCAATTTTGATGAAATTCGATTTCAATCGATGCAGTTTTGCATGAAACGAAAGAATCTGACAGAAAGAAGTGTTGTTCTGTCCCGCGAACCGAGATTAATCATTAAAGTTGACAACTATTCAGGTTAGGAAAACTGTCTAATGAAAAAGAAGACCAAGACCTGCCTGGATCCTTCTGACCTTCTCTCATTCTCTGATCATCTGATGCAGTGTGTTAGACGGACCGGATTTCAGACGCATGCGCGTCCAAAGCTTCAGTAACAGTCACTAGTAAATAGATTATTAGTCGCTTAAGGTTGAAAATATTGAAAATTTTAATATATTTTTCATATGTATACATATATAAAAATATATTATATATATTTATATATGTATACATATGTAAAATATGTAAAATATATTAAAATTTTCAACATTTTTGAAAAAAATTTTACATAGGCGACTAATAATCTGCTATTTACTAATGACCGATACGTTTCTAAAGTTACATTGACGCGCATGCGTCTGAAACCCGTCTAAGAACACTGATCTGATGGCTCTGATAGCGGAGAATTCCTTTTCTCTCCCCACGCCGCGGGCTAGACGGGGAAGGGGGGGAGGGAGAGAGGAATGGAATTCTCCGCAAATCGCAAAGTACAAAGCATGTACATGTCAAGGTCAAGGATAGAAAGATTCTCGCTTCGCTCTCCCGTCTATCAAATCAAAGTCAATTTTTTTTTTAATTAAATCTCGCTTAGTGTGTAAAGTGGAAAACCCATGAATGATTCCAAAAGAGTTTACAACTTTTCACACATAGCAAGAACAGAGGAGGGCCTTTTTTGTGGCTGTAACAGATTTCCTAACCTGAAGAATCGTTAATTTTAATGATTTATATCTTGGTTGACATGATAGAGCGAAACTTTTCTATCGGATTCATTCATTTCACAAAAAAACACGTCAAATGATATATTTTTTATCCAATTTTATGATTCTGTATGCTGAGTATTAATCGTGACATTTTTTTCTTAGGATAAAAAGTGAAAAATCTCCATTAACTTCAATGGTGAAAATTTTCACCTTTCACTTTTCATCCTAGGAATAAAGTTTCACGATTGATACCCTGAATTAAATAATTATTACCCAGATTACTTCATACAAAGGATCAGACGTATAAGTAATATTCCTATATGATATGAACATGAATAGTCGTCAATCGAGTTCTCGAGCGAGTCAGCGGGGTCTAATTTCTAAAGCCTCGTATACACGATGCTAGAAATCGATCCGAAATTTCAGACAGAGAAAGAATAACAAATCACGTTTGAACAATTTCATCACATGACCAATGCGATTGGTCAATTCCACCATGGAAGGGAGAACATGGTGTCTCTTTCTAAATCTTTGCCCTCTCCGATAATATATAACTTTTATGCCTGCTGCACACTGGACGTAACGAGTGGATGAGCGATATCCAATGAGAATTCTGTTTTAAATTATCATGTGAGAAAAAGCAAAGGTTTAATTGGACATTGCTCAACGCTCACCGTGTCCAGTGTGTAATAGGCATTAGTTCGGAACTACAATAGATGTTTTATGTCCGTATTCATAGTCAGACCTTGTACTTAAGACTCCCTTAAATTTATCTTTAGATGCTCAGCAGCCAATGAAATAATTCGTAGAGTATCTAAAGATAAATTTAAGGAAGTCTTAAATATAAGGCTTGACTATGAATACGAGAATTAAGTCTTAAGCCGTTAAGAAACTGGCCAATTATAGCCAATTACCAAATGCCAGAAGAATAATGAATTGTGATTCGTCCATTTCTTATGGCTTAAAGCTTAAAAATCTATTATAGATCCGGGCAACAGAGAGTATCAATTAAAATTTTTCCTAGGAATGAATACACAAAAAGCACAGTATATACAGTAGCGCAACTCTCTGCACCTTTGATGTTAGTCTTTTCCAAAATGGAGTGCGCAGGTGCGAAATAAGTAAGCTCCCAGTAGCACCATCTGAATTTTTTTCTCAGTTGCTCTTTATTTTGCCACGCGCTCTTTCTCTCTCTCTCTCTCTCTCTCTCTCTCTCTCTCTCTCTCTCTCTCTCTCTAGGTCGTTTGTACATCAAAGTTTAATCTAAAACTAACTATAATAAAACTAATAGAAATATATAAATATTAAATGTGAAATATATAAATGTTGTATGATACAAATATTATACTGTAAAAATATTTTAATTAACGACTGCAGCACACGCTGCTAGATTGCTTGTGTTTTAGTAAATTATTAAAATTGTACTACACAAAACGTAGATTTTCTAACTAAAACGAAAATAATTCAGCTGGAAAACAAACAATGTACTTAAATCATTAAAAGGAAACAGTATTTAAATGCTCTGAAAAAGAGAACAGAAAAAGGAAGAAGTGAGATAGAAGTTTAGATGGCATTACTGGACAACTTATTTATTTCGCACATGCGCAAGTTCACGGGAAATTTTTCGGCAAGTAATGAAATGCCTAAAATGTAAAATTCTAGTTATTTTTTAAATTGATGTAAATTAGCTTGTTTTTCGATCTTTTGATCTGTTTTCTGTTCCTGCATTAGACTGCATCAGAACTCTCTCGTTCTCGACAAATATCAACATATTTGAATATCTATTTGAAATTGCGTGGTTTCTCGCCATAAATGGTGCAAACGAAGAGGAAGAGCATGCAGAACATGTTGAGAGGCGAAAACTTCGCATATTAAGAAAACATTTGCGTGATGTTAAATTAAATATATGAGTAAAAGATAAAAGTAAATGCATGAAAATTTAAAAATGAGAATTATAATAAAAAATTGAAATTTATGAAGCAGGTTAAAAAATAACCTTTTTCCATTCAGATGAAGATTTCTCCGGCCCCAATCCAGAACAATTTAGAGTTTGTGCTATGTTCTCCCATACATTTTTCTACAAGTTTTAAATACATATTGTCTTTTTACTACATACAATCAAAAACAAATGAAATAACATATTTTTACCAGTTCTATACGGCTCTGAGAATTTCGCGACACTCTTCGCACAATATCCAAATTTTTTGACATTATCTAACAGCATTTCCTTTTGTTTTTGTTACATTCATTGTTATTCTTGATTATATGTATAAGGAATGACAAATAATGAGAACAATGTGATTTCCTATCAAAATACATACGTATATTCATATCTATATATACATACACCCGTGAACATTGTTAAATTCGTAAATTTAAGAGAAACGAGTTAATAAATTCGAGTTATGATCTCACTTTCTCGTAATTTCCTTACATCTGATTTCACTTTCTCATAATTTTCTTACATAATTATTAAGTTTGATATCGTTTGAAAGTGAAACTTTTTACGTGAGATTGGTACGTACAAAAAGTGAAAAAAATAAAAGTTTCGTGAAAATTTACATACCCAAAAATGTTGTCTACGGCCCTTATGCCTGTTTTATAATTGAGTCACAAATCGTAACCCGTGTAAGAAATTGGTCAATCACAGTTAAGTATGAGAAGAATAATCGACTATAGGCCATTCTACATTGGTCATATCGTAGCGTTGGAAGTGTCGTAAGCATCATGCAATTTCAAAATTGAAGCATTGGATTGGCTAAAGCAACAAGTTTGTGACTTGCGATATCTATGATACGACCAATGTAGAATGGCTATAAGATTGGTTAATTTCTTACGACTTATCGCTTTACCGTATTGTAAAACAAGTCTTATGAGCCTTCTACAATAAGCCATTACATAATGAGAAATCAGAAGCTAAAAACTGACCAATCATAACCGTCAATTTTTACTTCTGGCGTCTGATTTATGAATTATTGTAGAAGGCCCAGGGAAAGTTTATATTGGCTATAACTGTGTGCTATACGCTGTAATCTGTAAGAATTGACTCAATCAAGTATGCCCTCTCATTCAACAGTAAGAAGAGAATATTTGAAGATAATTAATTTTTACAGATTACAGCATACGGTTAGCCCGGTTCAACAACAGGTGTTTTAAGCCTATGGACCTTCTACAATAAGTCATTAGTCATAAATCAAAAATCAGAAGTTAAAAATTGACCAATCATGGCCATTCTACAATAAGCCATTAATCATAAAGCAAAAGTTAGAAATTGGAAATTGACAACTGTGATTGATCAATTTCCAGTTTCTAATTTCTGATTTATGATTATTTACTTACTTATTATAGAATGTGTATCACAGTTGTCAATTTTTAGCTTCTGATTTCTGATTTATGACTAATAACTAAAGTAGAAGGGCCAAGCTGTAAAAGTGTTTTTTCATGCTCAATCACGCAAAATTGATATTCGTCAATTTCTATCACGACTTATTTTAACATTGAAAATGAGCATCGAATGTCAGCATGAAAAGGTATCTTAAGAAACTGACAATTACAATCGAATGCGAGAAGAATAATCGACTATGATTCGTCCATTTCTTAGGCTTAAGACTTAAAAATCTATTGCAGATCCGGGCTTATAAAGCTAAAAACGGCCAATATAAAGCTTCTTAAAACCCTCGGTGGAATAGAGATCTTTGTCATACAACGAAATTAATATTAAGCAGGAAAACAAACATCATGTGTCATCGGTTTAAGAAAGTTACTAGTTGGTACGAGTATCAAATGAGATCAATGTAAATTAGGGTACTAGGCCTTTGAGAACAACACTAGCGTAAAGTGGCGCAAACTTCAGTGAATACGATACTGTATGTATGTACTACGATACGATACGATACGATAGAGTACGAACATGGGTGGGTAAAGAGTCTCGGCCAACATTTTTTTCTTACGTCGATATTGCGACGTAGCATCAATGAGTATCATATCTTTGTTATTTTCTTGTTTCTTATATTACGATTATCCGTGTTCTTCCATGATATTCTCTATTGTCGACTTTTGGAGTGTTTCCAAGACGAGAATATCCGAATTTGCTATATTCTCGACAGCCGACATATTGGTCAACGACGGACGAAATTCAAAATCGTCAAGAATTTCCAAGTGATGAGCCGACATCAGAAGATTGATATGGATTTGTTGTTCTTCTCTTTTATTGATGAAGCCACGAAGATATGGCTCGATACTCTACATCGAATGTGGACGCTGTGTAAGCATTTAATTTTATCTCCTTCGTTTTGTCACTCGATCGCGTACAT